CACTTCACTTGTTTTGCGATCTGGCAGGAAGCCTTCCTTCTCCATACTGTCCGCCATTTCATTCCTGAACGGCCCCGTCAAAGCTGCACTGCTCCCACTTCCCAACACCAATGTGTCATCAACATGCAATTGCACTGCCATGTGGGGACCTGTTCCATGGCCTGGTTCCAGGTCCTCACACCACTGCCATCCGTTGAGTTGATTCAAGGCCGAAGCGCTCACCGACGTGCCGGACCTCGCCAAACGTTTTCAGCAATTTTTTTTGTTGCTGAGAACTGCGCGTCAATGCGTTAAGCAAAGTCGCCTCACGCCTGACGACGCGTTTTTTGCATTTGCTCATGTCACCGCAACACCTGTGCAACACTGTTGGTGTAGTGTCAGCCCTGGCTGCTTCAAGGTTGCTAAGCCTAAGGCTTCTCTGACGCTTGTCGCCAGAAGTGCGATACGTCTGTTCGTTGCTTTTCAATGCTGACCGAACGCGGTTGTTTGAGGTCCGAGTCTCTCAGCCCACATGCGCGTTGTGGCTGGTGTGTGTCAAGCCCAGCGTTCACTGCTGGAAGGCTTGAATCTGTGATGTGATGTGGCCTATCTGCCCAGTTTGTATATACGATATTACTATGCAGCGGCACGAGACGCGGCCATATGGGGTACCTTGCAGGCGTGTTTGGGCTCGCCCGCGGAGGACGAGGCATGCTAGCCAAGGTGGCCACGCGCGTCAGCGCCGCCGCATCTTGGGCCGCGTGGGCAGATGCCCTCCTCACGGTGCTCCGCGAGCGCTGTCCCGTTTTTGCACAGTGGGCCGCCCGCTGCTTTACTGATGGGCAGGGGCCTGCGTGCCTACAGGCGGCTTCGGAGGAACGCAGCCTGTAGAGGCGGAAGGGTGGGCAGACATGCCTCGTGGGAGCTCGTCGTCCAAGGAGCCAGCCCACCCGACCAACAGGAAGGGACCGCCGAGCCCGGTGAGTGCATGGGTGGCAACACTGTGCGTCTCGCACACGGAACGCTTTCTTCCGCGACAGCGTGTTCATGCCCTCCCTGCCGCCATCCCATCGCGCGCTCTTGCGATCCCAAACCACACGCCGCTGCCTGGCTCCAAGCCATCCCAATTGCTGATGCGGAAGGACCCAGCCGCCTGCCGCTGCGCTGAGAGTCGGAGACTGCTGGCTTAAAAAGGCGTGTGGACAAAAAAATACTGACCGCAAGACGGTTGCTTCAGAACTCATGCAGCTAGATGCCAGTATGAATTCACCGTGCGGAACGACGAGCCTGGCAAAACCTTGATAATAAACATACAAAACCGTCCGCTAATGCTCACCACCCTTCGATTCCAACATGGCCGCTGGGACGTCCACGCCAGTCGCCTCCCACCCCGGCCACAGCAGGCGTCGCCCCCCCCAGCGCCTGCGTGCGCCACACTCTACGGGACCTGTGTGCTGGCGCCAAAAGGCGCGTGCAAACGAAAAAAGTCCGGCGGCGGCCCAGCTATTGCAACCATTGCAATGGTTGGCCCAACCATTGTTCGTAGTAACCAGCAAACGCACCCACTTGCACACGGCTAAGCCTTCAATTGCCCTTCCCGCCAAGCCATGCTTCTGTTTGGTGTTACGCGCAACCCACCCACTTGCAATTCGGTGGGAGCCATGTCGGCTGGTGGTGTCTTGCTTGTTGCGGCCACATCGCAACCCCTTGCCTGCATGCTAGGGGAAACTTTTGTTTGCCCTTGACCTGTCACTATTCTACCTTGATGACGGGGTGCTGGCCGGCGACGTCATTGCGGTTGCCTCCACGCTTCACCTCGTGCAGGCCCGTCGTGCCGGCCAGTGAACTTTCTGTCAGCAAACTACGCTTGGGTCAGTCAAGCATTTCTCTGCACATATTTGTGCATGGTTTTTGTTCGGTAAAGGTCTTCGTGCGGACCATCTTCAGCATCTTGTGCATGTGTGTCTAGGTTCCAAGTCCTCATTGCCCGGCTGTGTGGGAATCGGCAGTGGCTCTGCAGGCAAGCTGTTTGTAGGCTTGTTCCCGCGCCGCCCTCAGAAGCAGGGGCCAGGAGGGGTTTGTGCCGCCTAGCGGTGGGCCATTTGTGCTGAAGGATTTTGCCTTACAGTTTATATGTTGGTTGCAATTCCACATGAAGCAGCGCATGTACTCGTGGTTCTAGAGGCTCACGCATGCCAATTTTGGCCCAGAATGATCGTGACCAAGTCGGGTGCAGACTTGCGCGACCATGGCAGAAACTCAGCAGGGAGAGCTCCTGGCAGCCACTATGGGCGGCGTGGGCAGACGCGCTGCCCGTCCTGCGCCAACGGTGCCGGCCCGCGATGGAGCGATGCTTGCGCCAGCTGCAAGCAGGAGCCGCGGCGGCTGGAGAGGCGGCGGTGCACTTGCTGGGCTGACTGGTCCTATGGCTGCCACTCACGTCTCCTGTTTGGTGGGGAGGTGGTGGAGTCCTGCTGCGGAGTCCAGCAAGGGGACCCTCTAGGACCGGTGCTCTTCGCCCTCACTCTCCAGCCTGCCTTGGCTGCTGCTTCAGGTTCGCTTGACTTCCGCTTCGCCTTCCATGATGATGTTGTCCTTGCCGGCACCAGCCATCAAGCCACTCAAGCGCTTCACGCCCTCACTGCCTCTGGCCGTGCAGTTGGTCTGGTTTTGGAAGCTGCTAAGTCCGAAGTGGTTGTCACTAGCCCGACCAGTAGCGCTGACTTGCGCGGCCTGCCGCCCGGCTTTGTCCGGCGTCACGGTGAATGCACTCTGCTTGGTGCTGCGCTCGGTGGCCCCAACTACTGCAACCGGCATGCTGAGACTCGGGTTACCAAGGCGGCCCCTCTGCTGGAAGCTCTGGGCGCCTTGCCGTGCCCTCAAACTGGGCTGCTCCTTTTGCGGCACTGCTCCTCGTACTGCAAGGTCACGCATGACATGCGAGTCACTCCGCCAGTCCTGCACGTCGATGCCCTCCGCAGCTTCGATGACCGTGTCCGCGCCTGCTTTGAGGGCATCGGGGGGCTCCCTCTCCCTGAGCTCGCTTGGCGCCAAGCCGCCTTGCGTGTTGCCGCTGGCGGACTGGGCCTGCGAAGTGCTGCGCAGCATGCGCCTGCCGCCTACATTGCTTCCGTTGTTGCCACCGCTGCATGTTGTCAGTCGCTCGACGCTAACTACCGCCCTGACCTGTCCGGCTCTGTCGCGCAGTTCAATGCCTCCGTCTCGCCGCAGCAGGCCTTGCCACTCAGCCCCGTCGCTGTCCGGCAGCAGCAGCTGTCCTCCGCCTTGGATGAGGCTGAAGGGAAAGCCTTGCTTGCCTCTGCTCCCGACGAGGCTTCCCGTGCCCACCTCCGCCTTGTTGCTGAACCTGGGGCTGGTTCCTGGTTGTCCGCCCGTCCTGCTGACGCCCTTGGGCTTGCCCTTGAGCCGCAATTCTTCCGGACACTCCTGCGCATGCGCCTACGCCTACCCGTTGCTGCTTCTGAAGAGTATTGCCCCCTATGCGACGGTGTGATGGACTGCCATGGTGATCATGCCCTCGCCTGTCCGTGCGGCGGTGACCGCATCATACCGCATCAAACGCCACAACCTAGGTAATTGCTACCGGCGCCTGCTGGCCCATACTGGGGCCTTGAAAGGTCTTGGCGGTCCAGGCTAACTCGAGAGTCTTAACAGGCTCCTGGGCGGGGGGCCAGGGCGGCCAGGGCGGCCAGGGCGGCCAGGGGGTCGTTCAAAATCCCGAAAGGTCTTCATCTCGGGGGGTCTAGGGCCTTGGGTTTGGGGACTTAGGACGGTTTGGTCTTGAAAGGCTTTGGTGGGAGTGGGAGCTTGCCTTGGACAAAAATTTCAGGACGCTGCTCACGGTGGCGTGCACACACGGGTGCAATTGCAGTTGTAGACAGCTATAGTCCTTTTTCGAACTCGAACCACCCCCAGAGAGTTGCTGGTGATTCCCATATTGTTGCCCTGACGTGTTGCCTATAAATTATTTTGCCGGGGACGGACAGGCGATTTTCGATTTTTGTCGCAGCACCAAAGCCGTTGACTTGTTTGGATGCACGTCACGTGCCGCCGCTGCTGGACTGTCATGTGCGGAGCTCCACTGTAGGCAGAGTGAACATGTTCACGCGTGCCGCTGTACACCCTAGGCCTCGGGCAGTTCATATTCACAAGCAAAGACAGGACCAGAACAGGACTGAATAGTTGGACGGTGTCGAAAGTAGTTCGGAAATCGCAGAGTCAGTTTTCATGCACCATGCCTGTGCTTGCTTTAGTGGCGTCGCCGTGGTCGGGGGTAACAAGAAGCCTGGGAATTCACAGACAAAAAAACTTGAAGTCTGGCCAACGCAGATTCAAGGCTTCCGAGCTCGATCTTCGTAATTCCGATGTGGATTTTCTGAAGCAAGCTTGTCTTTCATGCGAATTGGACGCCAAGCAACGTGAATGCTTAGATGTCTGGCTGCACAGTGGGTCATGGCCCAGCGAACATCAAGAAGTTGTCGGTGCCGTTTTGCTGCAGAAGCCGAGGGCTCTGCAACAGCTGGGCAACATAACAAATAGAGAAAGTTTCTTGCTTTGGCATGCTTGGGGTTCCCCGGCACCTCACCTTGCCAATCCTCAGTGGCTACTGTTTGATGTTCTGGCGAGCACGTGCTTTCAGCAGCCCCTGGACCACAGGGCTCATGTTGGCCAGCTCAAGCTGGCTGAGCAGCGGTCTTCTTGGACAATGTGTTTGCGCGAAGAAGCATTGCAACAGTTGAACGACTCCTTGTGCTCGGATGGCCGGGCGCTGCGTGACGTCCTGCAAGGGTGGGGGGTAGAATCGAGTCGGGAACTAACTGTGTTCACATCCCTGGCACCAGTCGTGTTCTTGACGGTGCGCGGCAAGTGGCCTGTCCTGGCCGACATGGTTCGCTGCACGGAGCAGCAAGTAAGGCGACCTCGAGGCGCGCTTTTTTCAGTAGCTCGAGTAATTGCTGTGCAGTATCGTGAGCGTTAGGTGCGCAGATTTTGTTGATTGCATGTCCTACCCTTCTTGGTTGGCAGGCGACTTCCTGGTCGAGTCTTTCCGCGAGTTGCATGGGTCGAACCAGTGGCGGGCCAACAAAGAGCTTAGTTCCAGACGTATAGCAGTGCCTGCTCCGCCCTTGCAGTCTCTGCTGGATGTCAGACAAACTCTCGCATCTTTCCGCCAGATGCTGCAGGAACAGAGCCCCGATCGTGCAGATCTTCTCTTTCAGGTAGACACGCAGATCTTACAAGTGGATGAACTCCATCGGTCTTTGACTTCAGACACACATACTTTCCAGCACCGCTCTAGTGTTACAGAGGCAGGCAAGGCAGCTAAGCGAGGTCGCAAGCAGGAGTACTCGACAAAAGCAATTGTTACTGCAGTCCAGGCGTGCACGCTTTTGCGTGACTCGGCAGACTTGGAAAAGCAAATGCGGCACTCGCTGCAACTGTTGCTGCCCAATCAGTCGACAGAGCTCAGCGCTGCCATAGATCGTGGTCTGATAAAGGCACCCGGTCCTTCCCAGATCAGCCGTTGGCGCCTTGCTGTCGATGTTGGGTTCATGTTTGTGATGCGATCCTTGTTTAGGGAGACTCGCGGCCGCGCTGTACGTTGTTTCTTGGTGGATAGCAGCCCCCAACGGGGTTTTGACTGGGTCCTCAGTGAGGCGCACAGCCTGTCGCCCAGTGATTTCTCGCAGTGGGTCCAGAACCAATGGCGCATGATCGAGACACGTTCCCATTTTCAGCGTTTGACTGTTGCCTGTGAGTCTGCTGCTGGCCGTGCGCAGGACCATGACTTGCTTGATTTGCAGGAGCAGCTTCGCCAAGTTCAGCAGGGGCGTGAAGATGTGCAGCGCATTTTGGATTCTCTGGGCAGCGTGCGGCATCCTACAGTAGACATACACCTCTGCCCACCGTCAGCCCAGGGCAGTCAGCGAGCTCAGTTGGTCCACAAAGTCCATGCGCTTCTCCACACCCTTAGATTAGAAGTGGGCGAGTGGCATGAAGTTGCTGAATATCTTTCCACTGTGCGTGCCGTCACGACAGACTTTGGCACAGAGTCAGGATTGTGTGATGTGGAGAATGTTGACATCTCGTTGCTGTTTCCGTGGGCGCAAAACGCACTTGATTTTGAAAGGGCCCCGGCCCCGGCCTGCGAAGATGAGGACGTGGCTCTGCAGGGGAACGCGTGTCTTGTCAACGGCACTCCTTTCCTGCAGGTTCGCGAGGGCAAAATTGTAATGCCGAAACTTTTTCCATTGGCTGTGCAGGTTCCTGGTGCCTTGCATATCTTGCACCACTCTGTCGAGGAATTGACTTCCGCCTTTGATGCTTACGAATCCTGGTTCCTGCCCGGCCTTAAAGCTGTCAACAAGGTTTTTTCCAAGAAGCATGTTCGTGAGCGTTTCATTGCAGAAATTTTGCGTGGCAGTGAAGCCAGTTCATTTGAGACAGCTGTGCAGCAGTTGCAACTCAATCTGCATGAGGCCCGATGGGGCACCTTAATCACGACATGCAAGGAACTGCTGTCCATTCGTTTGGTTTTCGTGTATTGGGACTTGTCAAAGGTTCTGGGTGGTGCACCTGGCCCGGATGCCACAGACGAAGACAGGGATTCGTTTGCAGATGGTTCCAAGATGTCGGAGGCTGTGAGCAGCCCCTGCTGGTGGGAATACTTGTGCATGATCATACGCCTGGGTCGTGTTGTAGATCACTTGGAGCATTGGTTTGAGGCCTGCCCCTGTCACTATCGCACCGTGCCAGAATCAGCCTCGCTTTCAGGCAACACCATCTTTCGCACCCGCTACTCCTGCCCTTTAGCAGGGCGCAGGGCGCCTGAACTCGCTGCAGGGGCATTGGACGACGTTGTTCAGCAAACCTTGCAGACGCAGCATGCTGAGCTTCTCATGGCGTGTTCGTCGTTGCCTTCAGAAGACCGGGACACTGTACTGAAGGATTATGCATCGGCACAGGCTAAGTTGGAGAACTATTTGGCCATCAAGTTTGCTTTTTGGAAAGCCTTGCCTCACTGTCTTCTTGTATTGGGTCATCACAGTGAGCATGTAGCGCGTTCCTCTTTGACGCAGGCAAAGCAGCTATACGATGAGCGTCGGGACAGTGACAAACACCATGCTCTGACGAAGCATTTTTTTGAAAGTGATTTCTCTGTGCAGCTCGATGCCTTCTTGTCTGGTTCCACTTCCCGCTGTGATTCTTGTGATTTAGCCAGGGAAGCAGCTGCGGCTGCTTTTGTATCCTGTGTCGAAAGGAGCATTGAGGCCAGGCATGCATTGCTCAAGGCCAAGACTGCGTTGATGAAGAAAATGTTGCCATCCACCTTTTCTGTGGCTGTCCGCTCGCATGAGTTCAACAGGAGATGCTTTCAAGACCTGCCTTTGCTTGAAGAATGGCAGCGACATGTCAAAAGGCTGAAGGTCAACCCTCGCAAAGGCCTGCCACATGTGCTGCTGCATTTGGGCATGTCCTGTCACCCAGATGTCGTGAGACTTGCGAGCTTGGACAGCAAAGTCAAGCTTCGGCACGCTTCAAACATTGTGTACCATTGTGACCTTGAGACTCAGTATGACAAGCGTGCTGAAGCAGCCAGGGCATTGAAACAGCCGCAGTACCGGAGCAATCCTGACGCCGCGCCCAAGCTGCGCCAACTTGTTTCTCAGCAAGCCACTGAAGAAGAGAAACAATCTATGATGCTGCGCATTCTGATGCAGGAACATTTCCGTCGTCACTGTCAGGAAGGTCAGATCTACTCTGTCACTGGCACGTTGCCGCCTACACGCTCCGTGCTGCAAGCTTTGCTGCCACGTGCGGACGCAAGCGCAGCCGTAGCCGAACATGTGCCTCAGCAGATGTTCTCGGCGCCCGATCCAGAACCTCATGTCTTGCAAGTTGGCCAACCCGAGCCCCGTGACGACTTGAATCCCCTGGCCATGGCCGAAATCGCAGAACCCAATGAGCCCACCGTCTTCGTGCAGGCAGGGCATAGAGTCGCATAGAGGTTGCAGCGCCACCCCTCTCATTGTTCGTCTCACTGTCTCACTTCTTTGTCATTCTTTGTTGTTGCTGATGCACGTGCCTTGTTCTTGTGCTTTTTTTCTTGGGCAGGTGGTGAAGAAAAACCCTGCCGGGTTGCGTCGAGTCAAGGCTGGAGATGCCTATGCCAAGCAGATGGGCCACTTAGATGTTGCTGTGGCCGTGCGTGTTTCCCAGCCTGGTGGCACACTCCAGAGCGCTCTTGTGGATCTGCTGCCTGAAAGAGGTCCAGATGGCAGGTTGGGCCTCAGGTTCTTTGATGCGCCGAAGGTAACCAGCATAGCAGAAGCCACGCAGTGTGTCAGTTTGTGGACTCAAGGCTCTACAGGTGCTCAGTTCTCCCCCAAATTCCTGCCCGGGTTTCCTGAATATGTCCGTGGCCCTGCCGGAGAGTTGGTGTCCCACATGGCTCGAATGGGTGCAATTTCTGGAAGCATGAATGAGCATGCCATGCACATCAGTCATGACGAGGAGGGTGCCGCAAGCAACCTTGAATCTTTGGAGTGCCTCCAGAATGCTGGCTTGGCCACTGCCACGTTCTGTGACTCTAATCAATCCGCGTGGTTGCTGAGCGCAGAAGCTTTGCAACATTGCCACTTGAGTATGCGCTTGTCCAGCCCAGTTTCAGTGTTTGCTGTCCCAGACGGGCAGCCTGCCCTGTCGTGGACAAGGATGGAGCTGCTTTCGTACCTGGACAGGCAACATTGGCGCTGCAACTTCTTGTCGGATGACCCCGATGCCCGAGGCGCCGTGGTGCCGTTGGACTTGACTTTCCGTACTTCGGACGACAAGAACGTGTACGTGCTCAAGGGAAAGCTCTTGCATCGGTACTTGTGTTGCCTGGCGTATGCAGATGCTGAGTTGCCGCTGCCTGGGCAGCCGGAGGAAATCCGGCACTTTGAGAACGATACCTACTACGGAAAGATACTCGGCCTGGATGCTTGCGCTGGCACTAAGCCACTTCCTCTGACAGACGGTGCCGCTGTGCCACGAGCAGCTTTTGCAGAGCCACAACATTGTGTCAATGACTTTGATGAACTTCCTGAGCTGGATGCAGGGCGCCAGGATTCTGTACAGGAGGAGGCTGAGGCTGAGGCGATTGAGGAGGCCTTGGATCTCTTGGAGGACGAATCTTTTCTTCAACGTGGCACGCGTCCTCTCTTTCCTTCTATGTCATTCTATCCCTCTGTCGCTTTTTTTGCTGCACTCACATGTGTGCTGAAACTATTAGTTGTTAGTTGGACCTGAGCCACCTAAGGATGCTGATTCTGGTTCCCCGGTGGGTGGCATAGATTGGTCCAACGTGGACCTGTCTGATCTGAATCTGCCGGCTCCTGATGAAGCAGTCTCGCCTTGTAGCAGCGGAAGTTCCAGCAGCAGTTCCAGTTCCAGTACCAGCAGTAGCAGTAGCACTTCTGGAAACTCGGATTCAGACAGTGGAGGCAAACCCGCGGCAGTGCCTCACGATGACGCGCCAGTTCCTGACAGAAAGAGGGAGGCAGACTCATCGCATCCTGATGCGCCGGCTACTGTCAGACGGCGCCGCGACGAGACCTTCGAATGGAGGGGGTTCCGCTTCACTTTCAGGCCTGGCTCTGGCACGAAGAAGCCCTCTTATATGGTGCTTTGTCGATTCCATTCGCGGGCCTATAACGAAACCAAGTGCACACGGACTTGCGGTTGGTCTCAGCCGGAGGATCGTGACACTGCCATCCGAAAGCTGAAGACATGGTGCGTTCGAGCTCCTGATTTCGCTTTCGCTGGCAGCAACCCTGATAGGGCCCCACATCAGTCGCATGACAAAAGAGGCCTCGTTATCATGACTGATGCAGAATTGGACGCAGCACCACTGCCGGCGCTGCCGGCTCCAACCGACTGAGGTGACTGAGGTGACAGAGGACGCATGCAATGCATAGTGCACCGTGTTTGCTCCGTGGCCTGCAGCATTGCGACCTGCAGATCCAAGATGGCTTTTTTGAGAAATGACCTGGTGCATGTCTGCCGTTGTGTGAAGTGTGTTTCACTTGCTCCTTTGTCATGTGTAGGGATGGGGGGGATGTAGGGGGCCTGGGCTGCAGATTCGCCAAATAATGTATGATTCTGCTCTCTGCGTGTCAGGCATGCATCTATATAGAGATAGAGACACAGAATCTCGCGGGTCGAACCCCGCGCGGGTTATGGAGCCACGATTACGTTACCAGCACTCACCCCGGGCGGGTTATTTTGGCATCATAGGGTCTAACCCCCAGGCAAACTCCTCAAGTTCAAATGAAAACAGCCGGGGCGTTGGGGGGGGGGGGGGGACACCCCCGCTGCTGGCGAGAGAGGTGTCATGTATGTGTTGCAACTCAACGAAACATGGGGGCAGGCGGGACCGTCGCAGCTGTGTGAGTGTTGAGAGTGTGGGCAGCGTGGTTTAGGGTTTATGGCTTGTATGGTTTAGGGTTTAGGGTTTAGGGACTTTTGAAAGTCCTGGGTTAAAAAAGGGACTTTTGAAACACCAACCCGAGGGAAAATCACAACCAAAACCAACAAAAAAAGCAAGAACACCCGAAAAAACGTGGGAATCACTGACAAAAACAAGCAAAACAAATAAGAACATCAGTTTTGAAAATCGTAATTCTAAAGGAGGTACTTTTTAGGGTTTAGGGTTTAGGGTTTAGGGTTTAGGGTGTCAAAAAAAGCAAGAACACCCGAAGAAACATGGGAAAACACTGACAAAAACAAGCAAACAAATAAACACATCAGTTTTGAAAATCGTAATTCTAAAGGAGGTACTTTTTATGGTTTAGGGTTTAGGGTTTAGGGTTTAGGGTGTCAAAAAAAGCAAGAACACCCGAAAAAACATGGGAATCACTGACAAAAACAAGCAAAACAAAGAAACACATCAGTTATGAAAATCGTAATTCTAAAGGAGGTGCTTTTTAGGGTTTAGGGTTTGGGGTTTAGGGCTTAGGGTGTCAAAAAAAGCAAGAACACCCGAAGAAACATGGGAAAACACTGACAAAAACAAGCAAAACAAATAAAAACATCAGTTTTGAAAATCGTAATTCTAAAGGAGGTACTTTTTATGGTTTAGGGTTTAGGGTTTAGGGTGTAGGTGTTAGTGTTTTAAGGTTTTAGAGTTTAGGTCTTTTGATGCCTGCCCGGTCAACGTGAAGTGTGCCTTCGGCCTTCATTCCATCCTAACCAACAGTAAGGCTCCGTGTATGATCCTACTGCCAGCCAGGCCGGCATTATGGTGCTTTAGGATCTAGGGCTTAGGGTTTAGGCTTTGGGCTTTAAGCTGTAGGCTATATAGGGCTTCGGATTGACGCCAGTAACTTCAACATTCCTCGTGTTTCGAGGCTTTGTTCGAAACTGCATAGTAGCCTGCAAATGGGGGGCCGGGAACCGTGCAGGAGCCACAGCCTGGCATGGGAACAGCACAGCTTTGAGCCCCTTTGGCCCTTCAGGCGTTTTCCAGGAGACGGCCCTTTGGGGATTGTTTCTGTTCTTTTTTATTACCTTGGGGATTGCTTCTCGCGTTTTTCCTCGTTTGGGATTGTTTTTCTGCGAATTTGCCTTTGGGCTGGAATGCGCATGAAGCACACGCCTGCGCACTTCCGCGCCCCCCCCCGCGCATCCCCCCCGCACACTCCCGCGCACTCCCGCGCACTTCCGCGCACCTCCGCGCGCCCCCCCGCGCACTCCCGCGCACTCCCGCGCACTTCCGCGCACTTCCGCGCAACCCCCCCGCGCACTCCCGCGCACTTCCGCGCGCTTCCGCGCGCTTCCGCGCACTCCCTCGCGCTCCCCCGCGCACTCCCGCGCACTCCCGCGCACTTCCGCGCACTTCCGCGCGCCCCCGCACACTCCCGCACACTCCCGCGCACTTCCGCGCACTTCCGCGCGCCTCCGCGCGCCTCCCGAGCCGCCGGCCTCCGAGACATGTGGTGGACAGTGTTTGGTGGCACGGTGTCCGTGCCGTTTCGACTTGCATTCTGGGTTCCGTGGCACACTTTCTCCAAGTTCTGGGCTCCGTGGCTCACTTTTCTTCAAAACTTAACTTTCTGAGCATGTCGGTGTGTTTTCAAGTGCAGGCGCGTTTTGTGGGATATTTGTGTTGGCAGTGTTGGGAGAACCACACCGCTGGGGCCGAAGATGTTGTGTTGGGCCCGGGTGAAGCTTGGACAGTTCCATCAAGTCACTCATATCGATGTGCCTGTGTTGCTTTGAAGCCTTGAAGCATGACCGCGCGTGTTCTGTGCCTTTCTAAGGCGCTGCAGGCCTCAAGTCGCTTCTCATCAGTTCTGTTGCAGTCTTGCATGTTCGATTCATCAAGTAGTCTTGACTACTTGTAGGGACATTAACAGCGCTGACCAGATTCAGCTTCAGGCGCATGCAGTGCTATACGCTTTTGCGATTCATGAGGCAGTGTTGATTACTTCTAGGATTCTAGGGTCGACTTGTCGCTTATGCCACAGCGCTGACCGGCTTCTTTTGCACGCAGCAAAGAAGCCTCCCGTGAACATGAAGAGACCCGCTGCGCACACAGCAGGGTCAAAGTTTAGTGCCTTTGAGGCTTTGGGCCCGGACATCAAACGGCAAGCGAGTGGGCATCAGTTCCTGGTCAGGAACTCTAGCCGTAGCTTTGATGATGACTTTGCTTTTGGTGCTGCTGCGGCTGCAGCTCCCTCACAGCCCTCACACCTTGCTCAGGCTGGCCAGGGTTCGTGTCTTGCGTGTGGTGTGCGCTTGTCTTGCAAGTTGCCACCTGTTATTGAATCGAGCACGGCATGTCGATGTGCTGTAGGCATTGTTTTTGCTTACAGCCTTGCCAGACGAGCGTGCTCAGCATGTTTGCTGCTCCTGATGATGATGGGCCCGAGGGCTCCCTTGCTGGTGATGTACCTGTGATCTCTCCGCCTAAGTCTGAGGCTGCGCATGCTGCGATCTCTCCGCAGAAGTCTCAGGGCAGTCTCTGCGGCGAATCTCCGGACAAGGCCCTGGCCTCACCATCGCCGGCTGCAGGCGTGGATGCCTCCAGTGTGGAGGCGCCGCCGCTGCCGCCAACGCCCACGCAGCTTCGGCCTTCCACCGTGCCTGCGGTGGATCCTTGCACCTTGTGTGCAAAGCGCCCTCGTGCGCAGAAGCAGAAGTTTTGTTGCACATGTCGTGCTGACATATCCGCGGCCAAACGTGACGCAGAGAGGGAAAACCAACTTGAGTGGTTCAATGACTTGGCAAAGAAAAATGCCGAAGAGTTCCAGGACTTCATGTTTGAGTACGTTAAGAAGCAGAGTTCCACGAGGCGCAAGTACTCCATGCGCCTGAAGTTTGACTTCTTGCAGTATCAGGAGGCTCGCCGCACACAAAGCAAGTTCAAGCTCGGCTACAAGGCAAGCGCATCATGTGTGTTGTCCTAGCGTCTTGCTGTCAGACTCACTCTTTGGCTTGATCTCAACTTCAGCGTGTTCAGAATCCAGCAAGCATGCAGACACAGAGTGTCCCAGGAAACCTTTCTTCCACCCCTTAGCAGCATTCGGCCTCCGCTTCTTTCTTTGTTTCTCATTTCTTCTTCTTATCCTTGCGTACTTTCTGGAGCCAAACCGCTCTGCTGCCCAGCCCCACCCCCTGTCACAGGCGGTTTTCATGCACAAGAAGCGCGCCGTGAACCACTGGATGGAGCGTTTGGGGTTGGAGAGATCCGAGGCTCTCACCAAGTGGGCTGAGGAATCCGAGGCGGCAAAGTACAAGCTCATGAATGGCCCCCGCGACAGCCCGTTGCAAATCCCTGTGAAGCTCGACGACTTTTTGGTGGTTGAGGACAGTGTGATAGACGAGAAGAGCATGGTGAAAGACTACAAGAAGGTCAAGCACTCCGCGGAAGCCGAGCAGCTCATGGAGGAGGCGTTGGAAGGCCGGGCATTCACGGACAATGACATTGAGAGGTACGGCATCGACGCAGCGAACAGCGACCTCGTGAATTCGGTCTTTGGACGCAAGATTGCTTTGAGACCACCCACCGCCGCCGAAGGTTCAGCTTCAGCTGCGGAAGACACTGCTGAGCAGGAGCCCGGGCCCGCGAAGAAAGCCAAGACCTTTGATGCTGGCACCGAACGCATGGCTATCACGAACAAGCTGATCGCCGCGGTGGACAAGGAGCTCGAGGCACTGAAAACGTGTCGGTCAGACGTGGCGACCTTCCTGCAGGACATGGACGTGGAAAATATGTGCAACAGCCCGGACACGCCTGCGAGTGAACGTGATGCCATTCGCCTCTTAGACGCTCGCTTCAAGCTGTCGGAGAAGCTCGTTGGCAGCCACTTCGCCTGACATGGTCCCTATAGCCGAAACCCCTGAACCGTAACCGCGAACCCTAAACCCCAAAACAGTCCTGAGGCTACGAGCCGGGCAAGGCCCTTGCGAGTGACGAGGTGGTGGCCAAAGATACTGCAGCCTACGCAGCCGCGTTCCAGACAGAGGTGGCCGAGATGCCCGACATGTTTGCCCAAGCCTATCCTGTTTCCCATATCGTGCGGCAAGTTCAAATCGAGGTCAAGAACGTCAACTCCCAAGCAGAACGCAAAGCGCTGGAGCAGGACTTCAAGCCTGTGATCAACCTGCTAGGTGTCATGCGATCGTCTTTGAAGAGTGCGCACGACAAGATCAAAAAGTTTGCCAAAGACAAGACATCCAAGCAGGAAAGGGAGAAGCGCGCCGCCGACGCCGCGCAAATGAAAGCCATCAGCACCGAGAAGAGGAAACGGGAGGCGGAAGAACGAAAGCTTACAAAGGCTGCAGAGAAGCAAGGTCGCGTGGGGTCTCTCTGGGACATCGACTACGTGAAGCTGGGTGTGCAGGTGATGTCGCACGAGATCCTGAAGGAGCCCGGTGACTTCCAGAAATTGAATTTCTCCCGGCCGTGGATCGCGCGATACTCGCTCTCGACGCTGCCCAACACGAAGAAGGTCGTGGAAGACGCCAAGATTCAATCTTGCCTAGCATCTTTCTACAATGGCTTCCCTGGATCCGCGGCTTCTTTGCAGGGAACGAGACGGTTCACGCAGGCGGTGAAAGAGACCAATGATCTACGAGACATGGTCCTTAAGGAGTTCGGCATCGCGGAATCACGTCCAGGCTCGGCTCTGCCTGCCCTGCTTTTTCTTTTGTTTAGGAAAAGACTGCCTGCTGCCTATGCATTCATTCGCTGGCAGGAGATGGGTATGATGCGCTGCAGTCCATGACAGACACCGTCGCTGTGTTCGGCTACGGTGAGGAGATGACTGCCTGCGGGCTCGATGTGCTTCAGCTTCCCTCCCTGCGTGTGCAGGTCCAGGGTCATCGTTGGGTGTTCATGATGCCCTTGGAGGCTGTGGTGTCTTATGTGAAGACGACAAAGAAGGGCGAGCGAGTCGCCTACAAAGATGTGCAGGACTTTCTGAACGCGCTACAGCCCAGCACTGTCGCAGCGTACCTGACCATGTTCCCGGATGGACTTTGCCACGCGTTGATCCACAAGGATACCATTGCGTATGTGCCGCCAGCGTGGGTGCTCGCGGAGAAGGCCAGAGAGTTTAGGGTTTAGGGTTTGGGGACTTTTGAGACACCAGCCCGAGGGAAAATCACAACCAAAACCAACAAAAAAGCAAGAACACCCGAAAAAACGTGGGAATCACTGACAAAAACAAGCAAAACAAATAAAAACATCAGTTTTGAAAATCGTAATTCTAAAGGAGGTACTTTTTGGGGTTTAGGGTTTAGGGTTTAGGGCTTAGGGTGTCAAAAAAAGCAAGAACACCCGAAAAAACATGGGAAAGCACTGACAAAAACAAGCAAAACAAATAAAAACATCAGTTTTGAAAATCGTAATTCTAAAGGAGGTACTTTTTAGGGTTTAGGGTTTAAGGTGTAGGTGTTAGGGCTTTAAGGTTTCAGGGTTTAGGTCTTTTTGATGCCTGCCAGGTCGTCAACATGAAGTGTGCCTTCGGCCTTCGCGTGCTGTGGTCCCCTGCCATGCAACTGGATCGAAATTTGGAAGCTGCCGCCGACTGGGTTGGAGATGCTGCTGAGGGTGCCGCGTCTTCCAAAGGCCTCGCTGCGCTCTATGCGCAGTGTCAAGCCCGTCAGGTTGAACAAGACAAGGAGGCTGCAGAGCGAGCCCAGTTGGAGGAGCTCACGCGCCAGGAGGAGGAAGCCCGGGCCCGTGAGGCCGAGATCCAGAAGAAAGCCGCGGAGGACGCCAAGCAAGCCGAGAAGAAAGCCGCGGAGGACGCCGCGCAAGCCGAGATGCAGAAGAAAGCCGCGGAGGACGCCGAGCAAGCCCAGATGCAGAAGAAAGCCGCGGAGGACGCCGAGAGAGCCGAGATGCAGCAGAAAGCCGCGGAGGACGCCGAGCGAGCCCAGATGCAGAAGAAAGCCGCGGAGGACGCCGAGCAAGCCGAGATGCAGAAGAAAGCCGCGGAGGACGCCGAGCGAGCCGAGAGGCAGCAGAAAGCCGCGGAGGACGCCGAGCAAGCCGAGATGCAGAAGAAAGCCGCGGACGCCCAGCAAGCCAAGATGCAGAAGAAAGCCGCGGAGGACGCCGAGCGAGCCGAGAGGCAGCAGAAAGCCGCGGAGGACGCCGAGCAAGCCGAGATGCAGAAGAAAGCCGCGGAGGACGCCCAGCAAGCCAAGATGCAGAAGAAAGCCGCGGAGGACGCCAAGCAAGCCGAGATGCAGCAGAAAGCCGCGGAGGACGCCCAGCAAGCCAAGATGCAGAAGAAAGCCGCGGAGGACGCCCAGCAAGCCAAGATGCAGAAGAAAGCCGCGGAGGACGCCAAGCAAGCCGAGATGCAGAAGAAAGCCGCGGAGGACGCCCAGCAAGCCAAGATGCAGAAGAAAGCCGCGGAGGACGCCAAAGCCGAGATGCAGAAGAAAGCCGCGGAGGACGCCGAGCAAGCCGAGATGCAGAAGAAAAACCCCCACCCCCCAGGTTTACAGTCTCACCCCTCCAGTGAGCCCTAACCCCGCGCCGTAACCCTCAAAACCTAAACCCCAATGGCCCCAAACTAAACCCCTAAACCCCTAAACCCCAAAAAACCCCAAACCCTAAACCCTGTTAGGCTCGGAAGAATTGTAATTTCCAAGTAAAATTGTTAGAAAGCCGTGGAGGACGCCAAGCGTGCCGAGGAGGACAAGCGCCAGGCCGAGGTCCTGAAGAAAGCTGCGGAGGATGCGCGCAAAACCGAGATCCAGAAGAAAGGCCAGAAGAAAGCCGAAGCCCAGCAGCAAGCTGACGATGCCGCGCGTGCTGAGAAGGCAATGCAACAGTTCTTCGAGAAGAAGAAGGCTCACGAGGACGCAAAGCGCCGGTGAGCTGCAGTGACGTATTCTTTCGTGGAGGAAAAAGCTTCCAACATGACTCCAAGACCAAGCGCCAAAGTTTTGCACAAGCACACCAACCCGGCTGCCCCTTCATGGCGCAAAGACGTTCCGCATTTTTGATTTTCCTTCATGCTCAGTCTTTGCGGCGTGCGTGCTGCGTGCCATTTCTGTGCCTTCTCTCCATACATCCATACACTAACTAGAGCCACCAGAGCTGAAGATTTTGCAGGTTGTGTTTTTGCAGACTCATTGCTTGGCACGAAAACACGAGAGTCACGAAAGTCATGCGCCTGAGGAGGTGCCATCTTGCAGACACTGTGTCTTTTACAGCGTGAGCAAAAAAGCAGCCGAGTCAGGTCCGCTAGGTGAAAGGCCAGGCTTTCCTGTTGATTGCGCTTGAGCTTGCAAGACATCGCACCGCGTTGTTGTGATTTGCAATTGTTGCAGGCGCACAAGAGCGATCCGGATCAGGAGGCTGTGAACTGGTGCCTAGCATGGGCTGAGAGGCACCTTGCGTGCATCCAAGGGGACATGTGGCAAACCTTGAAGGGCAACCTTGAGGCTGGAGTCGAGATGATCACACGCTTTTCAGGGTTGGATGCGCCGTCCTGCGCGGCCCGGGAGATTGAACGAGCTTGTGCAGCTCGTGGCCTCCGGCTTGGTGCACGGCAAGGTGTGTGGCTGCGCTCATCGGGAGACATTGCAGTCGGTGCTCAAAAGTGCCTGCGGCACCTACACGCAGTGCCTTCATATGCCAAGCATGCCCCGTGCCACATTTTTGACAACCTGGAGGCATCAATTTCTCCAGAGGCTCTGAGTGCAATGAGGAGCATCGTTCAACAGTTTGCAAAGCCAGAGATGTCTTTAACAGATCAAAAGGCCTTTATGCGCCGCTTGATGGAGCCGCTCTTGCAGCCTGGAGCTTTGTTGAGCTCAGCGCCGTGCCTGCTGCATGAATGTGAGCTCGGGTGCCCGTTGAATGACGACGCAGGCCCTGCAGCGGGGCGCAAACTGCACGTGGCGGGATCCCCTTGTGTGGATTGGTCTCGGAGGGGAAAGCGGCAGGGCTCTGTGGGGCCCACGGCTATACCCCACACAATTTGGCTGGCACATTTCATCGACTCCGGCGTTTGTCTTCTCTTGCATGAAAACACGCCGGATTACCCGGATTGGCAGTTGATGGATGCCTTGCATTTCTTCAGCAGCCGTCAGTGGCAAATTGAGGTGTTCAACATTTGTCCAACCATGTTTGGCATTCCAGCCAAGCGAAAGAGACGTTACTCTGTTGTGTGGCACGCTGGTCATGTGTCCTTTTCGGGCACCTTCCGGGAGTTTGTGGACATCTTTGTGCAGCAGTGCGACCTCAAAGGTGACGTATTCTTTCGTGGAGGAGAAAGCATCTCCCAACATGACTCCAAGACCAAGCACCAAAGTTTGCAAAAGCATCACGACCTTCGCCTTGAGAGGATGAAGACCAACCCGGCTGCCGCCGCGCAGGACATCGCAGACTTATCCCAGCGTCCGCCATTCGGCACTTTGGACACTTTGATCCCGTGCTTGACGACCGGTGCTTGCGTCTACAGCTTGTCAAAGGGAAAATTTCTCACTGCCCAAGAAGCCCTGGAGGTGCAGGGGCTGGGTGAGGAAGCGCCGGTGTCCCGCTTGCTGGCGGATGGCAAGCTGAGCATCGGTCAAGTTCGCAAGCTGGCAGGAAACACGATGGCCCTTAGCTGCATTGGAACAATGATGCTGTACATTCTCTGTCGCACAAAGCCTGTGCAGCCTGTGATGCCAGTGACACCTGCCACTCAGCCTGAGTCGCAAAGCTCGCAATTCCCGTTGCAGTCCATGGGATCCAGGCAATTTTGACAAGACGCACTGCGTGCACTGCACACAGCCCTCGGAAGAAGAAAGATCTTGCAGTTGCAGATTGATTTGCGTGCTGTTGAGTGCGACGCAGGGGGGTTGAGTTTTAACAGAGTTTGAGGGCTTCGCCCAGAGCCGCCTTTACACCCGTAGGACTGTAGGAGAGCCCCGTAATCTAACGTAACACTGCGCAGGGCACAACGATTTTGCATTGCAAAAATTCGTGTTGCAGTGCGATGGAGGGGGTTTTGAGTTTCAGGGCTTCGCCCAAAGCCGACTTTACGCCCGTAGGACTGTAGGAGGGCCCTGTAAATTGACATAACAGGGCAGAAGGCACAGCGATTTTTGCTTGTCATGACTTTTATGTTGCAGTGCGATGGAGAGGGCTTTAAGTTTGAAGGCTTCGCCCACCGCCGCCTTCAGGCCTGTAGGACCGTAGGGGGCAAATTTGCAAAACAGGGCAATTCGGTTTCCTGTTTATAATTTCTGCCGTCGCTTTTGTGTTCACCCCTCCCCGGAAAGCTGCCAAAACGAAAAGCCGCACGTGACAAGCTACCGGTTTCGGTATCGTGCAGCCGCAAAATAATTCACTATTTTTTCACTGGCTTCCCCCTTGTCCCCGCTCCAACGGACTCCAACGATAGGCCCGAGCAGAAATCTTCAACAGTGTGCCCCGTGGTTGTTGTTGGCGCAAAACGCTTCAGCAATTATAAGACACAGCTGCGCTGGGAGACACCAGTTTCACCAACCTGAGCCCGGGCCAACACCTACCAAAACCAGGTGTCGGTAGCAAGTTCATACCACAACCGCCTGCGTACTGCTTTAGCTGCCCGTGCCGCTGCGGCGGGCCTGTCCCCAGAAGTCGAGAAGGCTGGTCTGCTGCCGGCCCGTCCAACTGAGCTTGGCTTCTGCGAGGCTGGTGCCGCTGCTGCTCTGCAGGGTCGGCGGCCTGCTGACGTGTTTGTGCCGCGCTGGGGCCTCCGCGGTCCAGCAGCTTTCGACCTTGCGGTCACGAGCGGGCTTCGGGGGGGGTCTCTTGCAGCTTCGGCCGCTGATGGCTCCCGTGCTTGTACTGCTTATGAGGATCGCAAACGCACTTACCTCCAAACGGCCGCCCAATGCGAAGCGCAGGGCATCCAATTCGTGCCCCTGGTCGCCGAGGCCAGTGGCGGCGGCTGGGGCTCCACTGCCATGCGCACTTGGCGCTCCCTGGCCTCCCTCATCTCGGCTCGTACCGGTGAGCCGACGGGCTTTGTTGCTGATCAGTTGTGCCAATTCATGAGCGTGACTTTGCAGCGGGAGAATGCACGCGCGGTCTTGCGGCGCGTGCCTGCCATTGACAACGCCCCTTCCGCGCTTCCAGCGCCGTAGGCGCTGCCGGAACCTCGTTTCCGCGTGTCCTCCCCCCAGCTTTGCCTGCCCTCGCTCTGTCCTATGCTGCCTCCGCTTGAAAATTTCAAGCATTGAGCGCCTACACGCGCATGCATGCCCGCTAGCCAGAGCCCCGTACAGCCGGCTCGCTAAACCCCACGCTTCCGTACGGCCTTCAGCCCGGGCCACGTACAGCCGGTCCTCTCCTGTTTCGCTTCTTGGCTGATTGAGGTTCCTAAGCAATCTCGGGGCCATCCGTGCCTGTTTCGCGCCTCAATCAAAGCATCGAGTCGCGCTGTTCCCGCGGCGCAGGGTTTTCTCCCAAACGTGGTTTTTCCCTGTGCCGCGTAAAGACGAACTTGGAGATCATATTCTTGCAGGCAGCCGGCTGGGAGGCGTGCCCGACCTGGGAAGAATGCTTGCAGTCGGCAGCGCCCTCTGCAGCAGCGGAGCCCGGCGTGTGGGGACACGGCTGGCAGCAGCGTGCAGCTCTCGCACTTCGCACTTCCGAGAGCGCGTTCTGCTGCCGGCGGTCGACCCGAGCACACGGGCCATGCTGCGTTCACAGGCCGGTCCGCACGCGAGCGCTTGGCTTGTGGCCCTGCCCGTGGGACCCGCGACCACGCTGGCGCCCGACCTCATGCACCTAGCCCTACGGCGCAGGCTTCGCCTCCCTCTCCCAATCACGCGTGCCTCCTGCGGTGGAGAAGGAATGCACGGATGCCGGGCCCGAGCGGACGAGCTGGGCGACCACTTCACGGCCTGCCCTCGCACCTGCCTGCTTGCTCGCCGAGGCTTCGTACTCGAGCGGGCGTGGGTCCAGGTAGCACGGGAAGCCGTCGGCCCCGAGGGACGCGTCGTCCCCCAACAGTGGCTCGCCAACACCACGGCGCCGGGGGTTGCAGCGGACGACCGCCGAAGGCTTGACCTCGTCATCTACGGCGCGTCCCCAAGGGGCGAGGCTTTGTGCTGCGACGCCACCTTGGTTTCGCCCCTGCGGCGAGACGGCAGCCCGATTAGCGGGGCGCCGGAGCGCGATGGCGTCGCCCTGGCGGCAGCTCGGCGGCGCAAACAAGCCCGCTACCGCGAGCCGCGAGCTCAACCGAGGCGGGGCCCAGCGCTTGTGCGTCCTCGCGACTGAGGTCGGAGGGAGGTGGAGCGCGGATTGCGAGTCCCTCCTGCGGCGGTTCGTCCGGCTGCGCTGGGCGAGCCGGTGGAGGGGCGTCCTTGCAGTGGCCGTGCAGCGCGCCGTCTGCAGCGCCGTTCTGGGAAGGTGGACGATGCCTGCCCTCCCCACCCGTCCACTTGGCGGACATCTTGGCGCAGGCCCCGGAGGCCCCGCCCAGTAGTTTGGGGTTGAGGTGAGCGGGCCTTTCACTCTCACCCCCCCCCCGACCCGACGACGGCATCGACGCTGCGGGCGGAAAATGGTGCGAGAAAAAAATAATAAGAATAATAATTTTGACGACCTTGACGCGGACGAAAATTTTGATGTGCTTCTGCGTCGGCATTGTCCAACGTTTCTGACACAACCTCATCCCAAGCTTCACGGCCTGCATCCTGCAGCGAAGACGCCACGCACTCTAATCCAAAAGCATTGCAATCCTGCTCAAACAAACATTGCACTCGCGGCTTCAGCTTGCCTCTTTGCTGCCGTTCGCTTGACAGTTTACGGCAGCGAAGAGAAGAAAAAAAACTACGTTTGGACGGACAAGCCGGGGACCGAGCGAGGTCTTGTAAGCGGAGGGCGGGGAGCAAGCTGACCACCTCACGCCGGCACGTTTCCGCCCTGTATGGCGTGCTCAGCGATGCGCTCTGGAAAATTATAATAGAAGGTTTATCGAGCCTATAGGGCTTATCGGGCGTGTTATCTGGTATGCCTAAGAATGGGAGGCAAGGAAACAGCGAAAGAAACCAAACGCCTTTAAAGAACGACAAGAAAAACTCCTCGCCCAGACGGCAAACCTCACCACAAATCATGTTTTCTCACTCCTTCATGTTTTCTCACTCCTTTCTGCTGGCTCAGCTGCCGATTGTGCCGCCGAACGCGCGGCAGCCCATTTCGCCAGGCCGC